CCAGCCCTGTATCATCGCGACAGACGGAACCAGTGTGACTGTGATGATCACGAGTTGGACGGCAAGGCAGGCCATGCCTAGCGTGACAGCGTGGACACCGAAAGCTAGCCAGCAGATAGCACGGCTTACCAGGTGGAGTTTCTCGGAGGCTGGGCGAGCTTCGGTGAGCAGAACATCTTGCGCGATGCCAGTCGTGGTGATGACAGTCAGACGCTTACCATTTGGCAAGGTGATGAAGAGCTTGACTTCATTCTGTTTGGTCGCCTGATCGTCCAACTTGCTGACAGCCTTATCAATGCTGCCGCGGAAGTCAAAGAGAATGCAGACTCGAACAACAACCAGAGCGACAAGACTGAGAGAAGCAGCAAGACCATACCAGTCTTCGATCAGCACCGGCCACATGACCAAGAAAACGTTCACCAACAAAGCTAAACCGATCACAAACCACTGCTCAGTCTGAGGTCCAGAAGCACGAGGAACAGATTGAATCTCAAGCCGCGTAGAGTTGTAGGACAGCTTCTGAAACGACAGCCAGCGCGTGAACCAAGCGCTTAGATCGGTTGCCTTAATGCCTTCGGTGATGTTATATAGTTCAAAGCCTGGAATCGGTTCCATAACTGAGTTGTCGGCGAAGATGTAACCGGCGAGGAGAGGATAGTATTCGAAAGGTGAGTAGACGAGGCGGCCAAGAGACTTGCGGACCGCGTCGGCGCCCAGGAGCGTTACAATACCGAGCGCGTCGATCTTGAAGGGACTCCAGTTCTTGATGTTGATTGGTGGTGTCATGATGAGACGCGAGATGAGAAGAGTGAGGGCGGTGACAAAGACGGTGGCGACGACAGACGCGGTACTGCAGTGATGAGCATATTTTTCGAGCGCCAGAGCGGTTTATACGTACGATGGATCCATTTTTGTTTGCTCCGGCGGGTTGAGCAATTACGAGTGTGGTTGAGATGGAGAGTGGAAACCGCGGTGAGTTTCTGGAGCTTTATGGAAGGAGGGAGACTGGAAAGAGGTGCTTCTAGGCTATGGGCAAGAGGGGGTTGTGCAAAGCAAACGACTGTGTCACGAGTGAAGCTCAGTGCACGCAGGGCATTGTAAGTACAACTCAGTCCATTCACTGAAGCGGCTGATATCGATTGGCCCTATCATGCACATATCCATTCCCTACTACTTCCACCACAATACCTTCACGATTTGTCTGTGTCCTCTCCTTGTGTCTCATTCTTCTTCAGCATCCAGTCCTCAAGCTCCGGAGGGCCATTCTCTGGCTCACCACTCTCCCGTAAAGAGACGAGGTGAGAAGTAGACATGCGGTCAGTCCTCATCTGCCGACGAATCTCGTCACGGTGTATAGGGCGACTGAATTCGGGCGGCGAGATGGCGCTGGGATATGGGAGATGGAGTTTCCTGTATTCGCGTTAACCAAACTTCGCCTGATAGTGGAAAAGAATTACTTACCGGCACCGTTCTTCCAGCTCCTCTGCGAAACCCCCATACTGATCCTTGTACTTAACGAAGACCTCTGCTATACGCTCCATGTGTTTCGAAACTACCAGGCCAGTGTCTATATCTTTTCTGGCGGCGTGTAGTGCAGCCTTTTCTGCTTCCAGTAAATCGGCCGGGAGAAGGCAAGGATGCCGATTGCTGCGCTCTCCATGTAGTACATTCAATGCTTCCTGAAGCATCTGCGAGCAAAATCTCGCTGATTTGGCGTAGTTGAACATACAGTTAGCTAGATCGAGCGACAGAAGCATGCGGAATATCCCCAGGTAGTTATCTGGATTCGATCTTCTGAAGTCAACTTGTATGTGCTCGATGGTGGATAATGTACCATCCATTGCTTGTATAATGCGACTTTCGTAAGCATTGATCGTCGACCCGCCCATGGTTTCCTGGTGCTGGTAATTGTACATGATGGCGCGTAGCATGGGGATTGAAAGGTCAATGGAACGTGGCTTCAAAGGTCGTGTATCTCTGTCCAGGCGGCGCCTGTTCCTCGCAAAGTCATGAGCCTTGGCACCCATTGCTAGCCGAGCTCGCGCAGAGCAGTCTTTCACACTCTTTGGTACGTCTGATGCACAAAAGATCTTCTTCTTTTCAAAATGTGCCATCGCTATATCGAGCATCTCCCATCCTTTCTCAAGGATTGCTTTAGTCGGATCATTGGAATGGCGGAGCTGCAAGAGCGCATTTTGAAGATGTGCAGCCGAAGAGACTGACCCCTGCACAAGTACTTGGTCAGTCTCTTGCAACTTGACCCCAATGAAGCGGTAGAGTAGTCGAAGACCAGCCCAGACGGGGTTGAGCCCGAGATATACGTTCATGAAATCATTGGCGTCTCCAAGATTTGCAGCACCTTTACCTGGGATATGTGGCCACGCGCAAAGAGTAAGGGTATCCGCTGTCGCATCCTCAGGACGAGGCCGTTTGTGTAAGTCGAGAAGAGCCATGTCCGTATCGAAGATCAATTCGAACACTTCATCGATTCGGCTACCAAGCCATGAGCCGCCATCCGGGAGATGCGTTGTTGTCAGAACGTCTAGGAATATCTGTGTTACCATGACTTGTTCAACACCAGGCTTAATAGCACCAGATGCTGGAGTGAGAGCGTCATACCACATGCGGGTAAAGCTATCAGCGTCAGGGAGTAGCGTCTGTCGACTGACATCTGCCTTTGAGTGTATGCTCTTGAGAGTGCGCAAACATCCTTCAAGCCTGTCGAGAGGAGTTGTGACCTCATCACCCCGACGCTTATACTCTTTAAACTCGTCTGAGGCCTCAGCAAGGTTGATACGCGGACAGTTCTCTATTCCCTCAAGCGCGCTTGAATCCCCCGCAAACTGGAACGTCATGAGGTAGGTGTGCTGGAGTATGTCCGCGGCCAACTTGTGATGCTCAGTCTGTTGTGGCGCTGATGTGTCGGCTGTTGAGATTGCGTGTTCATCATCCGGTCTTGTCGTAGGCTCAGTAGGGATTTGCAGGCCTACTTTCACTTCTGGCTCAACTAGCAACATCAAAATTTCATCCATGGATTTGATGTCTGGAAATTTCTCCGTGAAATCACGTGCAAGTGTACAAGCAATCTCGTTTGCACATTGTGTCATCGCGGCAGTGAACATCAGGTCGGCGAAGGCTCCTTTCCTGTCCATGAAGATTTTCCAGTGATGTCGAACAGTGAGACGGAGCTCAAAGAAGTCTTCCAGCAAGCAATGGATGGCCATCAAGGTGTCACCCTTTGAGTCGAGTTGATACAAAGTCTCCTCGGGAAGGTTCTTGGAATTTGACGTTGGTTTGGGTGCTGGTTGGACCTCTTCTTGATCGTCCTCGTCCTTGTCCGACACACCCATCCGTTCGAGCACCCCAAAGGTATTCCTAGACCCCGGCGCAGCAGCTGATACGGACTTTGTGGCGCGTTGTGACTTGGGTGGACGCTGGACAAACGGCTGAAGCAGCTTACTTACAGTTTCTAACGTCGTGTTGAAGTGGCTGTGCGTATCGTTGCTTCTTTGGAGGTCTGCATTACCCGAACACTTTTCTTGCAGCTTGGACCAGGTAGAGCACTCCACGCGAGCAACCAGGGCATTTGATAACGCGTCATACACAGAACGGGGTACATGGGATGGCGACGACTTCGTAGATGCAATATGCTTCGCGCACTCCATGAGCTGGTGCGTGGTGAGCTTCTGTGAAGATCTGTGGGGTTCCGATTTCTCCCGTTCACGGGCTTCTTTTCTAGCCTTTCCCTTCAGCCGTGGGCCTTGACGAGCGGCTGGCTGAGGAGAGTCGGACGTATCAGAATTCTCTTGAAGACGAAAACCAGAGCTTCTCGCAGTCACAGCCAGCCATGTAACGAAGTAGTCTGTGTCCTTCTTGTATCGCCTGAAGGATCCGTTGAGGTGATCAGGAAGCATGTTCGCGTCTGAATGAGTAGGTCTGCTTTGTGCGAGTGGGGTAGCCCAGAGGTTTAAGTGGTATCGGTGATGAGGTTGGGAGTTGTGGGGGCGAGCGTCAAAGCGCTATTTTTCTTCGGTAGACAAAGCTGGATCTCTTTAGATTGGTAAAGTCAAACCTCTGCCTTGTAAGAGGTCGTACATTAAATAGTGCCCTCTTTTTATCAAGGCTTGATTTTGAGAGACATATCCCTCGCGGACAAGCCACCTGAGACAAGCCCATATCACGAGCCAAGAAATTGAGGCTTTGATCAAGACCTCATGGGCAATACCATAGCTCTCTCAGATCTCGCCACATGTGAGATCTGTGTCAGTAGCTCAGGTATCAGTAGAATCTGATTCAGGGAAGATGGTACCCACTAGAAACGCTAAGAATATCTCCGCGGTAACATTTGGAAGTGGACGTGCATGTCCCTCCTTCACACATACTGTATTGTACCAAAGTAACCCAGCTCCTCGGTGATGCAAGCCTAAATGAGGCTTCCAAACCACAGAGTAGAGAAATGATCAAGAAAGGCCGGATCGTGTCGCGAATGTTGGAGGTGTGTAGGAAGTAACGTGCTCCGGAGATGACGATCGGATTGCGCGGTCGCGCCATGGCCTCCTCTGACCAACTCTCATCGATGCTTGACGCGTAGCTGTATGATTAACACGTAACTGTATGTTTGTTGACTAACGACACTGGATGGGCGGTCGCTGAACTGTCTTGAAGCTGAGGTTCGTGTGTGTTGGCCTGGCCACAGCGCGGCTGTGATCGGGACGCCCCCGACGCGAAGATACAAAGTGGGTCTGCTTAGTCATCGAGCGCCTTTAGCCCGCAGCCGCGACCTGGACAGGCGCACGCGTCGCAGCGTCACCGCACGGTAAGATGTCAAAAGGAAGTTACGCACGGTATTGCTATGGAAAGCCCATCCCGCGATGGGAGAAAGCGCATTCGAAATCGCACGCCTGAACTGCCAAAATCCCTACTTGAAGCATGCTTTCCGGCAATGGAGATCCTCCGCCTGCAAACGCCTGTCACAGTTTCTGACACCAGCGGCATGCAAATCAGTTGTTTGAAGGATAACGGTAGTCAACGACCGGGAAAAACTCCTCCTTGATCTGCCGTGGAGAAACAAAGCGAAACATTGGGTTCGAAGAGCCTGCCTTATCGTTGGTTCCACTTGCGCGACTTCCGCCGAAGCTCTGCTGGCCGATGAGCGCGGCGGTGGTCTTGCAGTCTGATGGCTCGTTAGCTTCCGCGCTGATCGCCATTCCGGTAAGACTCACTGATGTAGAAGTTGCCCGCAGAATAGCGGAGCGCGTCTTCTGCCTCACGTATAGCGGTACGGGAGTTGGCGAAAACAGCACCTGTGAGCGCGAAATTACCACCAGCTTGATCAACCTTCTCTAAAATGTGGTTCCACTCCGCATCAGGGTAGACGTATATTGCGAGTACAGGACCGAAGATCTCATAGTTGAAGAGCTTGTGGTCTGGCGAGTCTGCGAGGTAGACGGTTGGCTTGATGTAAAAGCCTTCAGAGTCATCATAGGTACCGCCAACCAGGAGTTTGAGCGAAGAATCCTGATTGCTTTCGTCGATGACAGTCTTGATCTTTTCGAATGAACGACGGTGAATGACTGGGCCCATGAAGGCGGCGAGATCTTCGTGTGGATTACCCTGAGTAATACCCTTCACATCCTCGACCAATGTGTCAATGAACTCCTTGGATCGAGACGCTGGGAGATAGAGGCGAGACGTTGCCGAACACTTTTGGCCTTGGTACTCAAATGAAGCGCGAACGACGTGCTTCACTGCAGATTGGACATCCGCCGTTGGATGTAGTAGAGTGAAATTCTTGCCGCTAGTCTCTCCTACCATTCGTGGAAATTCGCGATATGTGTTGTTTCCGATACCCTGACCAATACGAGCACAGAGAGATCTGAAGACGTCTGAGGAACCTACGAAGTTGAGCCCAGCGAAGTCCCGGTGATTCAGCACGACGTCGTTGATGTCTTCAGGCTCGCCGGGCACGAACTGAATGACATCAGGTGGCAGACCAGCTTCAAGCAAAATCTTGTACACGAGGGTGCTCGCGTAGATGTTTGAAGGAGACGGCTTCCACAGTACCACGTTGCCCATTATGGCGGGACCAGAGACCAAGTTGCCACCGATAGCAGTAAAGTTGAACGGCGAAACAGCGTAGACAAACCCTTCCACCGGGCGGTAGTCCATGCGGGACCACATGCCATCTGTACCTCGCTCGGGTTGTTTTCCCAGGATCTCCGCTGCGTAGTTACAGTTCAACCGGAAGAAGTCCGCCAGCTCAGCAGCGGCATCTACTTCGCCTTGCCAAATGTTCTTCCCTTGCCCAAGCATGGTTGCCGCAATGAGCTCATAGCGGTACTTGGTCGCTACTAGCTCCGCGGCTTTGAGAAAAATCGCTGCTCGATCAACAAAAGCCGTATTCTCCCATGACTTCTTGGCTTTGAGGGCCGACTCGATGGCTATTGAGACCTGCTCTTTGGTTGCGAGTGGGTAATTGGTGAAGGTAGTCTGGTGCTCCGCAGGTAATGGCTGATCCCAAGATCTAGAAACTTGTTGCGATTTGCCATTGAAGTGGATCTCGCTTTGAAGGGGAATCTGCGACTTCATACGCTTTAAGGTCACCTCCAGCTGGGTGCGCTCCGGAGAGCCCCTCTCGTAAGTCGGATTTGGCTCGTTGCGTGCATGAGGTAGCCGGAATGGTACTGTGGCCTTTGTACGTAGCTGGCATTGGGGGAAGCGGAATCTCGATACATTTTTCAGAGGCCACCTTGTGTTCTCAGAGAGCCGTGCGAGGCTTCGGGTGGTCAACATGGTGGGGCAGAGAGAGGTAGGATAGGCACTCTGTCGTGGATCTACCTTCTATATTTTCAAGGTTGCCTCTCCACGATAGTTCGCAACGGCAATGCCTTCCGACGACACATACTATGCCCAGCGATATCGCTGTGTCTCTCATGCCCGCGAATACCCGTTTGCGACAAACAGCACGGCGACTTGTGGTTGGCTGATAAGCTTACCATGCCATGCCTGCCTTCGCATCGCTGCGCATGTTGATCGGGAGGTCTCCCGACGTATGGTCGCGTAAATGGCATTACGGCCAAGGCACTGAACCGGAAAAGACCTTCACACCCAGATAACATCGCCTCTCCATTTTCAACCACAAATCCTTCCCAACGGGGCTAAGAGCTCCAATGGGTCAATCTGTAAAGCGGTGGTTGGGACGCTCGATGAGGAACGCTCGTGTGAGGGACGGAAGCGCACCCGACGCACGGCTCAGTGCGCGAGGCGCTAACCCAGCCGCTTAGATTGATCATCCAGGGGAACGCGTACGGCGTCATTACGTCGACGCGTCACTTCAGAGTCGCGGCCATACCACAGACTACGTTGCGATTTCGGAAGGTATGCGTGAGAAAGCTCAACTGGTAGACGGATGATCTTTGGTGAGGATCAGGGATGCCCACTTACGCACGCGGGTGCCAAGCGATGACATCAGCTCCCTATCAGTCCCCGCATTAGCGCCCAGGTGGTATCTAGCCGGAATCGGCCGTCGATGTCTCTGGCTCATGACTGCAGAGTTTCTGCATGCGAGCTTACACGCGTTACTTCCGCATCGTTAGCGACAACCTCGATAAGCTGCCCAGGTGTCCATCCGATTTGTGAATAGCCTCGGCAAGCACGATGCCATCCTCCAACGACCACCAAAGAGTGACTAAACGATCATCAAACGCGTACGCAGCTTGCGTGGTGCCGATGTGATGCACTATTGACAACTACGGGCAGTTGCTCGCGATGCAGGAGGCAGAAAATCAAATGCTCAGGACAGCAGCCGTGTTCCAATTGTGGCAGACGAAGCCTTACTTGCATCTTCGATGATAGAGAGAACAAGATCCTAGTGACTCAAGGGTAGCTTACGAGCACTACTATCTGGACAAGCAAACTCTAATGGTGCTCAGATATCTCTCCGATCTCCGGGCAAAGATAGCCCGGTTGGAGCAGAATCCAATATACGAGTCGGGTGCATCACAAGCACGAACGACGGCTAACGATAGGACGGCTCAGACCAGGGATGGGAGCTCACCAGCAGCGGATGACGATCCTCCACCGGCGAACCCATCGAGCTTTGAGGGGACAAGGGATAATTCACCCATACCTAGACCCGACCCAGATGAAGCGAATCTGATGAACCCGCTTATTGAATCCTCCAAGTTCATGTCTTCATCCTCTGGACGGCCATGTAAGCTCTTGTTATACGCTTAATGAATCGTAACTAAGAGCTCCCATAGTTTATCTAGGCACGTCTTCGAACTGGTCTTTCCACGGACAAATCCTCAATTTGGTGCATGAGCACATCCGAAAATCACCGCTACCTAGCGCCGAACTGCTATTTGATGGCTCGGCTTACGAACATCTCTGGGGTGGCACACGTAGCCTTCCAGACTCCAACTCTCCGATCATACCTAGTATCGACTACGCCATCTTTCTGTTCAATGCTGTGAAATTTCACTGCGCCCAGCTTGTCCATCTCTTTGACGAAGACGAGTTTATGACCAACTTGCATGCTTTCTACTCGAATAATGAGAGAGATACATGGAAAGACAGCTTGTGGTACATACACTTCCTTCTCATCCTAGCTTTTGGGAAGACCTTCATCCAAGGGAAGAGTCAGACGCCGCGGCCGCCAGGCGCCGACTTCTTTACCCACGCTGTTCAACTTCTGCCTGATATTAGTCGTCTTTGCCGTGAGCCCTTGATGGCAGTCGAAATACTTTGCTGCATAGCGCTATTTCTGCAGGCCTTGGACTCAAGAAATGCAGCACATGTAACAGTACGGCGTCAATTACATCTTGTCAATATTGACTAACATCGCTAGATTGGTCAAGCCATGCGCATATCAATGATTGAAGGAATGCATACCGATATGCCGGTGGAGAATCTAGGCCAGGCTCTTGTTCAGCGATGCCGTAAGATCTGGTGGACGGTATATATCCTCGACCGGCAAATGACATCTTTGATGGGACTACCTCAATCGATTCGAGATGAGGATATAACTTGTCAGCTTCCAGATTTTGGGGGCTCAGTTCAAAGAGTGACAGCCCTCGACATGCAGATCAAGCTTGCACGTATCTATGCGGAAATAGCTAAGAGTATGTGGGTCGACATCCATCTCATATACGCGATTGCTGACCAAATGCCTAGCTGTTTATGGTTCTAAAGGTCGGCTACGCAAGAAGTTTGTCTTAAGCATTAAGGCTGTTTTAGGCGATCTTACGTCCTTAGCGGAAGAACTCCGACATTCATTTCCGCTGCACGCGAACGAACGCTTTGGCGGAATCTCGAGGATGCCGGCTTATCTACATCTACTCTACTATCAAGTATGATCCACATCTCTTGCGATACCGAACAACTCTGACAAACTACTAGACAATCGTTGTTGTGACGAGACCGTTGCTCTTCTGTTGTGTGAAGAAGGTCTTTGAGTCACCAGGAGAGCTGCAACCGCTGATCTCATCACGCAAGATACGCCATCTACTATGCATGTCACTTGAATCATCTCAGAAGATTATCGATATCCTAGAGATTCTACACGATCAAGGGTTACTAGGTATAGAGCTCAGCCATTTCGCAATGTCGTGGACTGACTATGATGCAGAAACCTTCCTCCCCTGGGATCTTGATGCACTCTTTGTATCAACTATGGTCGTCATCTTGACGCGTTTCATCGACCCTAGTCTAATGGACGACCAGAGGCCCTATCTAGGCAAAGCCTACAGCTTCTTCAATACCATCATGTCTAGCGGTAACCGTATCGCAGGATTTCGCAACGTGGAGCTCCGCAAGCTTGATGAGATGTTGGCGGAGTACTCCGAGAATAGGGAGCGGCCATTAACATCACCTAACACTATCGGTCTGGAACCAAACATGCAACGTCCACTCTCATTCCCTCCAGGCTATCAATCTGTAGCCGGTCTGCCGAATTCGCAAGATACGGTGCGCCCTCCATCTTATACAGGAATCAGTGATGAAGGGAGTGGATTTGGTGATGATTTGACTGCCGAGCAAATATTGGCTGTAGCAGAGTCTATGGACATGGAAGGGACTGACTGGCTGTCTTTTGCAACGTTGGACGACTACCAGATCATTGATCCGAACATCTAATGACTAAGATCACCACCATACGAACCACGCGCAATGACCACGACGAGTTTCACGGAAGGCGCACATGAGCCGAAATACCTACATCTTCGGCTTTATCGCTTCCTGTTCTTGCACATCGCGAATCTCTCTGACAGTTCCTATCCGCCAGCTCACATCATGGTCAAAGCTCTCTCCCTTGGCCTTCTGCTTTGGCACTCTCCAACGCCACCTCAGAATACTCTGCTTTCCGTCGGGTGCGTTCAGCAGGTTATCCACCCACCTTCCGACGATTGGGAACATCTTGAAACCATGACCGGAGTCACCCGACAGTATCATAACAGAAGAGGAAGTGTTCGGCACGTAGTCGACGATGAAGTCCGAGTCTGCTGTGTCTGCAAACCAGCATATGAACTTCTCGACCAGAGGTCGATCGGCGAGGTAGGGCAGTGTTTGGCGGAGAAGTTCGCGCATCTGTCCTTCGTCGTCTTTCGGCACGAAGCGCATGAGCTCTTGCGGTGCTTCAGAAATCCCGGTGCCTGGGTTAGTGTTGATGTAACCACCTCCCATCGGGCAAATCTTGAGGAGATTTGTCTTTGGGTCTGGCTCGAAGAAGAAACCGAGGTCGCGGGCGTATGTGACTGGAATACCGCGAAGTGCCGCCGTCTCGTTATCGGTAAGGCGGACGTGTGCAACTGACCAGGATTTCGCGGACACTTCGGCACCGACCTCAGGAACAATCTTGTGGGCTGCGGCACCAACGGCGACGATGACTAACTTGGCGGCATGGAATTGCGCAGCCTTTGTTCGGACACCGATGCTCTTTCTGCTCTTGCCCGATCCCTCATATACGATCTTCTCTATCGCACCGACTTTTTCACCCAAGAAGAATCTAACGCCATTCTTCCTGGCCTCGCGATAAATCCCTCTCAGCGCATTAGCTGAGTGCACATAGCCGTCGTACTTGGACACGTATCCCTTCCAGCCGGGCATGTCACCGGTAAACTGCCAAGCCCCAGCTACATCACGTACGTCTTGAGGGCCCGATATGGGATGAAAGAAAGGCTTCATCTCCGGGTGCTTCTCCGCAGCCGCCTGGAATCGGCGCAGCGTTCCCACTGCTTTTCGGGATGCAGCTCCAGAAACAACATTAAGATAGCCCACTCGGTGGAAGTATGGCGCATAGAGGGGTGTTTGCCAGGCGTGGGTGGCTTCCTTTTGTAATGTCAGTCATTGCTCGAACGATCGGTCCCTCATAGCGTTGCCCGAGGTGCAGATAGCTACATACCACGGCCAAATCCGTATAGAAATCGTCTTCGTATTCCGCTCGCATGATCTTGTTCAGATCGTTGCCAGCAGACCACCGGGATGGGATCTCGTCATCTTTCTCGAAGACCGTGATGTTGGTGTAGCCTTTCCTGGAGAGCTCAAGAGCCGTAGAGAGACCGAACGCGCCTCCCCCGATGATAGCTATAGCGTCGCTTTTAGAAACACTCATGGTGATAAAGCCAGGAAAGATGCGAAGTACGAGTGCAAGGATAAACACCTTGAAGCGTCACAGTATGTCATGAGACCCTGGAAGTACAGGTGCAGTCGTGCGACGTGAGTGTCCAGTCCATACATGACACGAAGCCATCGACCAAAGTCTCGTCAGACTGTCGATACGGGATCATATCCGCTGTCGCATGCATTCTCAGCCCCCGCAGATGTTGCAAGCGTTATCGTCGTGTTGTGATGCTTGCTCCTGACTTGCCCAGTCCACGCTAGAGTTATCGATAAGGGTGTCCCCACAGAATGTCTGACGCTGTTTGGTCCGCGTCTTCTCCTTTCCTGCAAGGTCGGATGGCCTCCCGACACTTCGAAAGCGAGACTGGTATCGCCCAACCGTGTTTCATGCCCTCTTCTGGCATGGATGATATGTCGACTTGCTGGCATTGCGACGACTAAGCACAGCCGTGATGCCTGTGACCGAAGTCGCGCGGTCAGCGACAGGTCCCAGATTGACAGCCTCCAGCAAGTCCTTCGTACATTGGATATCATCTTCTAACCGCATGCCAGAAATGTAGTCAAAATAGCACTCTTAGACAGTGTTTTCTTGCTATACACGTCTGCGATATAGTTCTTGAACTCATTTCGACGGCCACGGCTGTTCTTCGCAACGAAGCTGTGTCCTACATATCGAAGCTTTATGCACCCATATGCGGCCAACGATAGGCTTGATAGCATAGTTGCCACATGGATGGATGAATGACCGAACACTTGCCAGCCTCATTCATCTTCTGTCAAGACGCTTCGCCAACGTACTTCTCTAACTAGGTGGAAGACGTGCGCTTTGTTCCGACATGTTTCGAGAACGCTGCAACGAGATCACGTATCAGGACAAGGCATACCTCCTTTCGCTATACGGACGGATTATACGAGTGTTCACAAACGTAATACTTTAGAGGTAGCTTCGCTCTTATATTACGCCGACATCGTCATGCATAACCCGATCCAAGCCGCATCGACAATCAACCCCGCATTGGCCTACTTCCAGAAGGATGTCGCGTTCGGTCGTTATCACCATTGGTCTCGTTCTGCTTATCACTTCGCCTCTTGCATTATACTATTGGTAGTGTCGACCACATCCGGACTTTCCACGCGATTCGGCTGCACGTCCGAGCTATGGACCTGGACGCGATAGTCACGAGCATGGCGATGCCCCACGTTCGAGACGTGGAGCGGGGTCGTGCATCATATGGTAGAGATACGGCTTGAGATAAGGAAGGCGATGAAGAGGTAGAGTTGAAGGAGCACTCTACATATCAGCTTCAATCGTCTATCTTGAAACACTCTTCCATCTTTGGCTGGCTTCCTTAGTCTCGCCACCTCACATTGGACTCATGATGCTTCATCAACAGCTTACTAGATCAACACTGCGATGTGTAGCCAGCAGGAAATGCCTCATCAATGGCTTCAACACGTTCGAGACACGTCTCAGCTCCACAACTGCACTTCCACGGATGAAGGCTTCGGCTACACATATATCAAAACCGTCACCCACACAATACCCGCTCTCAGCAATGCCGACGCACATGTTGCTCCGTTCGCTCTTCGTCGCCACAATATCATCTAACAAGTTCCTTCTGATACCATCACTCAACATGCTCTCTTTCTTATCGAAACCGAATCGAAGCTTGTTGTTCAATATAGATCGAAACCCTGTATTGAAAGCTGTTTTGAAGAGAACGCTATATAATCAGTTCTGCGCCGGAGAAACACAACAAGAGACACGAGCTTGTGTAAAGCAACTGAAGGATCTGGGGTTCAAGGGGGTGATCTTGACATATGCGAAGGAGATGGTGTTCGATCACAAGACCAAATCTGCAAATCATCATACGTCGGATAGCTTTGTCGATGAAAAGACTATTGTGGCGCATGATGCAGACATCGAGGCCTGGAGGGTAGGCACACTAGGAACGCTCGATCTCATCTCCGAAGGAGACATCCTAGCTCTGAAGTAGGTATAGTTACGATGACTTACTGAATATATCACTGACATGGTCTAGAACGACAGGCGGTGGTCCAGCCGTTTCATCAGCATTCAGCAAAGGCGAGCTTCCACCCCAGCAAATGCTCGACGCCTTAGATGAGATAGCGACCCAATGTAAAGCACGCAATGTCCAGATCATCATCGACGCTGAGTCTCAGCACTGGCAAGCAGGCATCGCTCGCACGACACTCGAACTAATGCGCAAGTTCAACCGCAATGGTAAAGCTGTCATCTACAACACATACCAAGCTTACCTCAAAGATACTCCCACAGTTCTCGCACACCATATGGCCGAGGCAGAAAGAGACGGGTTTACTCTTGGCCTTAAGCTCGTGCGTGGTGCATACATCCTCTCCGACAACCGCTCTCTGATTCATGACACCAAAGAAGACACAGATAACGCCTACAATACGATAGCACAGGGTGCGCTTCGTCAGCAAATAGGCAGCTTCGGGGCATCTGGATCATCTGCCCGCCGGTTCCCTTCTGTAAACCTCTTCCTTGCATCTCACAACCGCGAAAGCGTGCTCTCGGCCCATAAGCTCCACCGACAGCGCTCGGAAGCCGGTCTACCTACTGTCCCCGTCGCTTACGGACAGCTTCACGGCATGTCGGATGAAGTCAGCTTTTCCCTGTTAGCGGAGAAGGGTGCGGGTGGTAAGGCGCCTGAGGTGTTGAAATGCACCACTTGGGGTAGTATGGGCGAATGTGTGGGGTATCTACTTCGGAGGGCTGTGGAGAATCGCGATGCTGTGTTAAGGACTAAGGATGAGTTTACGGCGTTGAAGAAGGAAGTTAGGAGGAGGTTCTTCTGGGCGTCATAGCGACTGGCGGGGTCACGATTAGGGTGCAAATAGGGATGAAGTTGACAAGTACCCATGCTCGTAAGACGCACATGAAGTGTCGTTCATATTCTAGAGGTCGTAGCCCTAAGTGTACCTAGGTATCCAAATGAAAGGACTTCCTCGTGATGAACTATCGGCTATCATCGGTATCTGGGTGTTATCTCATCAAGAGCGCGTTCGGATGCAGAAGAGATGCATGCGCGGAGGTGGATCTCCGCAGTCGCTTTCCCCGCTGAGAACAGCGCAAAGAAAAGTGGGGACCGGATTCCTTCCCGAGACCATGAGACGTGTCTGTCAATGTCAACACATGAAGCTGGAATAACATCAGCTCGGTAGCAGAAAGCCTCCTAAAGCTCTTCCAGAAAAGTTGGAGCGATAATAAGGAGCCTGATTGAGCAGAGCTACGTCAAAACTCACTTTCAGATACGGAAACACCGACACACTCGCAAGCAATCATGTCGGACCAAACATTATGCATGTTAGGGTGTGGTAAGTGACTCCCATTGAGAACAAAGACGAGTTTCGAACGAGACCTCTAAACCTACTCTTGAACAGGTAATCTCGGTACTGCCATCCTACAAAGCCTTGTAGACGCCCCTCCCAACTCGTTGTGTGGCATCTCCAAATTCATCGCCTGCGTTAAAAGCGAACAGTCAGAAAGCCGACTCAAACGCCTGTTCTCCCAGCACGAAAATGTTCTTATTATGCGAAACGAAAATTTAGCAGCTCTCAGAGCTTCACACGTGACCATTCTCGGCGTCGATCCCGCACAAGTGGAGGCAACACTAGGAGGAAACGAGAACGAGCAATCAATCGGCCGGGGACCGCCCATAGAGAATGCGTTAAAGCAAAAACTGCTGATCAGCATCGTAGCGGGCTGGACGCGTCCAGCTCTGGAGAAGCTGCTCCATTCCGAGACAGATGTTTTTGACAGGAAATATCCTGATTGCCACAGAGTATGGGTCTTACGTGCCCTACCCAACGTGGCAGCGCTCGTTTCGCAATCCATGACCGCCATCGAAGACCATCCCTCACCTTTATTACCACCGCACTTCAAAGACATAGCAACAGCCATCTTCACGCAAATCGGTAAAACAATGCCCATACCTCCCGCCCTCATGCCCGCCACAACAGCCGTCGCAGGCTCCACACCCGCATTCTGGGCCATCATCGTCGACAGCCTCGTCGATGCTGCGGTAGCCGTAGGAGTTCCCCGGAAACTAGCTCAGGAGCAGATCTACCAGAGTATGAGGGGCAGTGCGGAGATGCTTCAGAGTGGGATACAGCCGGGCGAGTTAAGGGATATGGGGACGAGTCCGGAGGGCTGTACGATTGCGGGGGTCATGGTGCTGGAGGAAGGTGGGGTGAGGGGTGTGTTGGGGAAGGCGTTAAGGGAGAGTGTTACGGTTGCTAGGGCGATGGGGAGCCTTGGGGGGAAGGGTGGGAAGGAGGTGCATGTCAATGATACTAGGAGGATCTAGTGAGGGTCATCCGATTTCGAGTTGAGGCATATGATACAAAGGCCTACAGTACAGTCAGCATGGACACTCAAAGCATGAGAAAGCAGACCACACCACCACGTCACATACACACAAACAGCGAGGGAAGGTTTAGAATCATCAACATCTGCTTACTACTCACTACCTACTCACTGGATATAAACTATACCACAGCAAATCAACCGTCGCCGTAGCGTAAACGTACATCCATCCCGACTAAAGGGGCGCATGTGCGTGCGAACACAAACTACGCCTGATCCTGTTGAACCCATGCTATGCACCTCCCTGTGATCAAGGTATTTCCCCCACCTTTCGCTCAAACCGAGCTGTCCGTGAAAAGATATAAACGCCAGTTGGTAGTAAGGTTGAAAACGCCAAAAGTAACCCAAATAGGTATACCGGAGCTAAGTAGCAAATGAGATTTGTTGTGACGCCCAAAGGAGAATACACACGTGGCTGGTTCGGAGGTGGTGAAGGAAATATACACGGTAATGTAGAGTGTGACTGTGTGTGTGTATGAAATAAGAACAGTGAATAGTTGCGTTGATACTTCCTTCTCTTTCTTTGTTCTTTAGCCTTCTTTGGGCTTTCAATACTGTGATGACGATGTTGTCATGTTTAG